CCCCCACCCCCATCCACCACCACCACCAGAGTCGAAAATAACTTGATTCTTGGAAAACTTAATAACCTGTTGACTAGAAGCCTTACCGATAACATAAGCAGTCGATTAACATTTTGTACGTTATATGTATCATATACTGTATCCTTACAATAAAAGCTAGAGAAAAAAATATTAAAACCATAAACTACATGTACGGTGTTGAAAAAATCTGCATTTGTAAGTGGACCCATGCAGTTCAAACCCATGTTGTTCAAGGTTCAATTGTACATCCCCCGCCCTCCCCTTACTGAGTGTGGGTTTCAGTTAAGATGTGATGGAGGGAAGGAGAGATTCCAAAGTTGTGGGATTCAGTGAGAATCAGACCCTTGGTAGCCAGAGCCAGTAGGTGGCTGTCAGAATACTGATGGAGTTGAAAGCACCCTCCCCTCCTGAGCAGTGCGTTTGTATGGGGTGCCCTTTTGTGAAGGGGCTTTCCCTGTACTACTATCACCATCCTGTGAAACTCTGTCAGATGAGACCTGCAGTCAACCCAAGGTCAGAGGTAGAGTAGGTGGTGAGGTCAGCCCAGTTCTGCCTCTCAGTGAACAACAACTGAGGTAGGTGCCTGGGTGAGTCCAGCGCAGCCCACACTTGGATGCAAAATCTGGCCTGGGTTGCACAAGGCGGTCATGACTGCCTGCAGCAGCATTGGAATGAGGGCTAGGCCCTGGGTATGGGACCAATTGCAATGTCCCATTCATTGCTGCACAGAACTCGAGGAGGCACATCCCCTCGGAATGAATGGTGCGGTGGCACAGCCTTGCCAGGAGAGGAAGCCCAAGCTGGATGCAGGGTGTCTGGTTTTTCTTGGAAGGATGGTTCCACCTGTTGCCTGAAGCAAGCATTTAACGGCATTTCTTCTGCTAGAGCCCAAGGTTTTCCCTACGTTTCCAGTTGTCAGTACCAAGATGGTTTATCTGGGAAGGGGTCTTTTTCTTTTCTCAGCAAGGTAGTCAGGGCCCCAGCTCCACCCTAGATCTGTGAATTTGACCTTTTGAGGACTAACATCGTGGTTTCTCAGGCTGGCTATGTCACGCTCCATCCTGTCACACTGAGAAGGGCTCTTTGCACCTGAGCCTAGGTGGGAAAGGAGAGAAAGCAAGAAATACAGCCCTTGAACCTTTCCCTTTCTAGTTAATTTCCATCATTGGGCCTCTTCTCAGGGCCAGACAAGAGTGAAAGCACTTGGTGCTGGTTTATCTTTACAACACATCTAGGTGAGCAGGATTACGCTAATTTTACCAGTGAGAATAAGGATGCCCCCCATATAGCTAAGTAACTTGCCAAAAGCAAGCATAAGGATCCAAACCCAAATCTATTGGCAAAATTAATGGAAGCTAGCTATACTTCTAGGGATTGCTGGAGCTTGAAACAGAATCCAGGCCCTACCCCAAACCAGCTGAAAGGTCACTGAAGTCAAGTCACTCCTCTGTTCCTATTTCATCAGTTAAATGTGGATAATCACAGGCACACAATGAGGCTGGTATGAAAAGCAAGAGAGTATGGATGAAAAAATCGAAGTGCCTCGTACACCTCGAAGACCCCTTATCCCTGAATGTGGGCTGCGCTTTGGAGTTAAGAGTAACACTCATCAAGCACTTACTTTGTGCTGGGAGCATCATTGTATCATTAAATCTTGACTACGCCTACTTAGGGCCTTCATTGTGGCAAAAGCTATTTCTCTTGATTGTTGTATTAAATAATGCAGGTAAAGTGCTTAGGAGTGCCTGCCGATGAAAGTACTCAATAAATGATAGCTATTATCGTTAGATCAAGAAAGACCTGCCTAGGGCAGGGGCACTAGTCTGGTAAGGTATGGATCTAAAACTGCAGCTTTATCAAATGTCCAGAGCCTGTACCTCACCCATATAACCACCAGAGGGCAGCGTAGGCATCCTCCACACAAAACTTGATGCACTTCCCTTATCGTTCACTAGGGGGCGACCCAGCAGGGCGCTGAATCCTGTGTCCAGTCAAGTCCTTTGCTTTCCCAGTTGGACCCAGCCTTCCAGGGCCCTAACCAACCCAGATGAGTCAGGCTGGAACCAAATTAATAAATACAATTCAGGATTTATTAAAAACCAGGACTCCCCTGCTGTGCCCTCCTGGCACTAAGTAAATAAATAACCAGAGGGGGGCACAGCTGGGGAAAGAGAAATCAGATCTCAAGGCAGATTCTTTACCCAACTCTCCCTCCCCCCTATGGCTCTTGGGACATAGCACCAGCAGGCACCTCAGTCCGGGTCGCGTGGCCGGCACCAAGGCATGTCTGCCCTGCCCTGGAGAGGAGACAGGTCCTGGGATCACCTGTTTCCAAGCCCTTGATGACCACAAGACCTGCTCGCACAGGGGCCAAGGCTGAAGCACCAATAGGAGGCACCTGAGGGTGGCAGGGAAGGGGGGAGGGGGAATGGGGTAACAGAACCTAGGCTGCAGGACAGCTGATAGGGGGTCCGGCCCCCTCTCCAGGTTCAGCCAGTGCCTGACAGAGGTCATGTTCCACCCCCGCTGCTTCTGGAGCCCCATCTGCGCTCAGCTGAGGATTTTTCGGGGCAATTCAACAGAGGCTCGGATGAAGACTGCATCATCCCGCACATAGTTTCGCTTGCGGATATCCTGGTGGGAGATGAACTTGGGGTAACCAAAGCCCAGGGAACTCTCATCCAGGGAGCCCCGCCAAGTGCCTGGTTTTTGGAAATTCTTCCAGTTTGGGTCGGGGTGAAAGGTCTCAGTGACATGCTGTGGCTTAGCCAGCCCAGGGTCGCTCTGATCCAGCAGGGAGAAGGTGACGCGACGGGCAAAGGGCCACTCAAGGAGATTGTCAAAGGCACCTGGCAGCACACGAATGTAGAGCGAGAGATGTGTGCCCTCACCACTGCCATTGCCATTGAGAAATGCAGACACCTGCAGCTTGTAACCATACTTATGTGTGTAGAAAGCTGGGCTGAAGCACTCGAGGTTGGGCTTGGCTTTGGCCTCCTGTAGGCGTCGCCCATAGCTGCCAATCTTCCAGATGAGCACGCCATCACTGCCCACTGACAGCTCCTCCAGCTCTCGCCGCAGCTCCTGCAGCTCCTGCCGCTGCCGGCTCACCAGGGCACACATCATGGCCAGATGGGGCTTCACACTCTCCTCCACATGCCGTGCCATTGCCAGCTTAGGGCACTGTTGGCAAAGCCCCAGGCCATGGGAGAAGGAAGGAGAGTTATTAGTAGGGGCAGGCCCAGGGAGAGGGGAGGAGTAGTTAGGTACAGGGGTGGCAGGCACCCAGCTCTGAATGAGGAAGGCTGAGGGCACTAGGATGCTGGAGCTGGCCAGCAGGGGGAAGGACAGGAAGCTTCAGAGCACAACAGGGACCACCAAGGGCCTAAGTCTACATCTGAAGCTACAAGGACCAAGGAGGGGGCTGGCAGGAAAGAGGAGGGCGTCTCACCCTGTGCTTGCAGCCGGAGTCTTTGAATGGACACAGCACTAGGGCAGTGCTACAGCTGTCCTTCAGATGGCCCGGCAGGTCCTCTCGAGCCACGGTGCCCGCGCCACACTGGTTGGGGCAGGACACAGGCAGCCTTGGGCACTGGTACTGGTGGCTCTAGGGCCGTAGAGACAGTGGTCAGTAGCCTGGCTCCCTGCTACATGCCCCACAGCCCACAGTTCAGGAAGGGCCTCACCTGGATGGTGTCAAAGACGAATTCCTTGGTGCAGTAGGTGCAAGGCTGGGTGCGCTTCGGGCACTCAGAGGTGGCATGCTGAGCCAGCAGCCGCCGCATCATGCGGGCACCACACTTGTTCTCACAGTACACACTCTCTTGGGGGCACACGCCCTCATGGCCCTGTGGAAATGCCAGAGGGCCTAAGTTAAGGGATCCCTGGTCCACCAGGTGCCCCACTCTCCCTCTACCCTCAGCCAGGCCCCACCCACCTCAAAGGCCTCCCCACTGAAGTCACAGCCACAAAACTCGCACTTGAGGCGCCGCTTGGGGCAGTCGTGCTGCAAGTGTGCAGGCAGGTCCCGGCGGCTCAGCTTGGTGGGGCAGCGATTGGGGCAGGGGATAACATTGAAGCTGCAAGTATTCAGGTGACCCTGGTGCGAAGGACTACAGTTAGTGCCTGCCAAGGGAGGGGTAGTCCCCCTGCCCCCATCAGAGCCTCACCTGTAGGTGACGAAGTGGCCCACTCCAGCGGCAGCCCTCCTCACTGTGGATGCAACGGATAGGCAGGCCCAATACCTGTACCTCCAGCTCTGGGTCTGGGTAGATCTGGGGGCAGGGATGCCGAGGACTGGTCAGCGTCAGAGCCTGCTACTGTCCCCAGTTCCTGCCCCTTCCACCCACCAGATAGGTTAGCGCTACCTTAGAGCCAGTAACATCTCCTGGGCTATATTCCCTTCTATGCCCAGGGATAAAGGGCACAGCAGGTAATCTGCTCCATCGCTGGATCCCAGGGTCCCCAACACGTCTGCACGTGACACTCCCATTAGAAGTGGCAGCCAATCAGACTGCTCAGTCCCAGGCAGCCCTCACACCCTCTGTTTCCTTCCTCCTGGTAGAGGGGTCTTGGCCCTCAGCCACAGGTCTGGCCTGCCACCCAAAGGGGAGGGGAGCACTTCTTATGAGCACAGAGCAGCTCTGTGCACCCCCACAGACTGGGCATTGTGCCTGCCCTCCAGGGTAAATCCAGGCCTCATTTGCAAACTAGCCTGGTGGGAGGGAACAGGCCACCTTTGTGGGGGGCGCTGGATTCACAGCACTGGGTTGACATTGGCCCTGAGCCCACTGGCTGCTAGCAGCACCAGTCTCCACCAAGGGCCACAGCCAGTACCTGGGCCTCTGCCTGGCACTGTGGACTCACCTTGGCATAGTCCAGAGGAAGTTGGTCCTCAGGGCATTTGAAGACTCCTTCACTGTGAAGGGGGAGGGGACAAGGTCAAGGCTCCAAACTATGGGAAGGGCGAACCCTGGGCCCCACCTCCTCAACCACCAGCCGCCTCCTCTCACCAGACCGGTTCCTAGCCAGCCCCACCTGAGAGGGCAAGCAGAGTCCTGAATGCACCCACTTCCCCATGACCCCAGGAGATCCCAGCTCTTGTCCTGGAGAGGGGGGTTCTGGGCCCAGCAGAGGCAGAGACAGCTGCCTCAGACAGCATTTGGCCAACAGGTGGCAGCTGGCACCCCTCCCCCCAGGATGGCAGCTGGACGGGGAAAGGAATAAGCGGCCCAGCCACCCCCTTCCCCCAGGTTAGTTTTCATTGGCTGGGCTGAAAGTTGATTGGGGGGGAGCGGGGGCGGGGAACAGGGATGGGCTGAGATTAAGCGCCAGGGCTGCCCAGACCCTATGAGGGTGCCTAGCCAAGAACCTAGGGCAAAGGTCAGCTTGGGGCCGCCTTACCCCATCCCTTTCCTCCTCTATGAGGGTGTGTCTGTTAAAGCAGAGGAGGAAAGCCTTGCTCCCAGGCACGGTGTTTGCACTCCCATCAGTCCTCACTAGCTGCCTATGAGAAGGGGCTCAATGTCCCCATTTTGCAGATGAAACAACTAAGGCTACAGCTGAAGCAGCACCTGGATATGCCTGATTCCACAGCTCAGATAAGTTCTGCTACACTGTACAGCACACAGAAGAGAAGTTAGGGCAGGAAAGACTGTCCAGGCAAGCACAGCCAAGACTGCTCACAGCACAGCATGTGTCCGGTCTGTTGACCCTGCCCGCTGCCCTCCTCCTCCTCCACCCCACCAGGCTGTTAGCACTCAAGGAACCTGTTGGCATGCCTCCGTCCACCAACATGGCCTTGCTGACCCTAGCCAGGACCAGTCACACATGCCTGGCATGGCCTAGGCAAGGCAAGGGATCACCCAACAAGACCGAAGGCCCTCAGGCATGGCATTTCTGGAAGGTCTGAGTCAGATATGTGGAAAACAGGCAGGAATCAGGCAGAGGCAGAGGCCGCATGGCAGCCCTGTCCATGCTGGCACTCTGCAGGACTCGGGCAGCTCATGCCCCAGATGCTCAAAGGATTTCTAGCACCCACCTCCTTCCCGACCCCACTACTACCACTGGCCATGCCACCAATGCCAAGAACAATACATGCCCAGGCACTGATGAAGTGTGCCCAAGCCCACAGGGCAACCAGCCTTCCTGGACCAACCTGAGTAGTTGCCCGGGCAGGAGTGGGGAAAGAGGGGTGGGCCACGTGGGAGGGGGGTCTGCTTGGCTGCTTCAGGAATGTGCTGACTTAATGGTTTTGGAGACAAGGAGAGGACTAAAGTAAGTACCCAGGCTTCAGGCAGATTAGCCTGGGCAGCTTGGGGCCCAGCCGAGACAGTTTCCGCCAGAGCTACGGACAACCTTGCTCGTAAGGTAAGTGCGTGGCGGTGAGGGGCAGCGCCTGTCCCCCCACCTCTTCCCTTCTCCCTCCAAGGGCCTCAGCAGCATAGCTCAGGCACTAGGGGAAAGGGGGAGGCAGGGGCAGACTGCTCTAGGCTGTGCAGTGGAGGCCCAGGCCCAGGGGAGAAGACAGGATGAGGGGAGGGGGCTGTGGGAGAGGAAGGGGGATTTCCGGGAGGAGGAGGGGCAGAAGCAGCAGAGAGAGGCAGAGGAGGTGGAGGGAAGGGGCCTGGCAGCCCCCTCCTGGATCCTTCCCTGAGGCAGTCAGGGTGGGTCAGCTGGGGGGAGGGGGGCAGTGCTCAGCTGGCCTCATCTGGAAACCAGAGGGCCCAGGGAAGGGCTCTGGAGAAGACAATGGGACTGTGTGTCTGTAGGGGAGTATGTGTGTACACTGAAGGGAGGAGGGGAGAGGGTGAGGGAAAAGGAGGAGGGGGCAGCATAGCAGCTTGTGCAGGAGCATATGTGAGGGCAGGAGCCGGCCCAGGCTGCAGGGAACAGAAAACAAAGGGCCTGCTGAGATTTCCGCCAGGCTAGGGGCTGCAGAGGACAGAGGGAGGGAGGGTGGGAGAGAGCACTAAAGGCAGGAGCCCCAGAGATGCTCCCCTTGTGGGTGCCCGTGCCTCTCCATCCACTCAGCAGACAGTCACCTAACACGAGGCAATGGCTGACCCAGGCTTCCCCTGTGCTCTTGGGGCACGAACTCGCCACACCCAAGCCTGAGCAGTTCCCAGGGTGGGCAGGAGATTTGAGACACCACAGGGTGCCCACCAATGGATGCTGAGAACCATGAGGTGACCTGGGTCCTCGGAGGGCAGGGGATACTCAGTAACACCCAGGGTGTGACCCCTCCCTAACGATCTATAGTACAGGCCATCCGCAGTACTCAAGACCCCCAGGGGCTGCTTCAGGAGAGAGCTGGAGCGTCACAGTCTTCCCTCTATTGTGTGACCACAAACAGGCCGGGCTTAAATCCCATAGAAATCTTTAAGGAACTGTGTGACCATGGGCAAGTCGCAGACTTTCTTTGAATCTGTCGTTTCATCATCTGTGAAATGGGAGAACAATAGCTGCCGTTCTCGGAACGTTCGAAGAATCAGCAGAGGTTAGATGGGGGAAAACTCCGGAGGCTTAAGGTGCTGCGCGGGACGGAGGGTTTTGTCCTCCTCTTCCCAGAGGATTCAAAGTTCAAGGATGAGGCCGCTCTCGCTCAGGTGAGGGGGAAGGGACAGCCACGGGTCAGGAAGCGCTTTTCCCACCTCCACCCCGCAGGAACACACTGAATTCTTTCGACCGGGCGCGGGGGCCGGTGGCACCCGGGACCCTACGGATTAGTGTGTGAGGTTCTCCCTCGAGACCTGACGTCACCGCTGCCCCGTGATGTCACGGTGGGCGCCCCTGAGGTGACGGGGCCGCGGCGCAGACAAAGGCCCGGCGTGTCTCTGGCCTGGGCCCCTCCCCATGCCGTACCCCTCCCGTCCCCGCACCGGCCGTCCCCGCTACCCCCGACCCGCACCTGAGGAACTCCTGCAGGCAGGTGTCGCAGAAGCGGTGGCCGCAGGTAGAGACCTGCACAGGCTCACGCATGGGCTTCCCGCACAGCGGGCACAGCAGCCGCCGCTTGGGCTTTTCCAGGAACTTGTAGTCGAAGCCGGGCATGGCGGGCGGGCACGGGCGAGCGGGGCCGGACATGCGGCGGCCCCACAGCCCGCGCCTCGCTCCGGCGGCGCTCCCCGCTCCGGGCGGCGCCGACTGTTGGCGGCTGCCTGCGCCCAGCCAGCCCGCTCGCCCGCCGGCCGGAAGAGGGGGCGGAGCCGCGTCCGCGCGGTCCTAGTGCCCGAACTAACCGGGATCCCTTCCCACCCCGTAAACTCGCGGCTTCGGGCTCGGCACACAGCCAGGCTCGCCCCTCCCTGAAGCAGGGGGCTACTCTTTCCCCTTGGGAAGAGAGATCGTGGCTCCGCTTCTCCCCAGAGCGGGGGACTCCTGACACTGGATGGGGCGGAGAGCCCCGGGGGACGGGCTGTGTCGTGCTACAAAGGTTCGCTCCTCCAGAGTCAACAGCTCCGTCTCGGGGGCCACGTGTTACCCAGGGGCCCAGGGTTCCAGCTTCCAGGTGCTAGGCAGCCGAAGCCTGGCAACCAGATCCGGGGAGCCCGGCTGGGGCGGGGAGGCCGGGCTGGGCGCTGGGCCAGAGGATCCTGGGCCCCAGCCTCCGGCTGCGCCCACATTCCTTCCTCCACCACGGCCCTGCGGCCAAGATAGGGCCCAGCCCAACCCTGGGGTACCGGGCAGCCACTCCCCACTCCTGAAGAGACCAAACTCGAGGCAGGCAGCTGATGTTTTTATTGGCGCTACTTCCCAGTCATCTGGGAACTGGTCTGGTCGAACCAGCTACACTTTCCCCCAACCTGTTTTTGGGGAATGGCCAGGGGTGCAACACAACCTGCCTGCTGCAGGGATTCCCTTTGCATTACATTGCGGGCTGGGTAATGCACTCCCTCCTGCAGGGGAAGGGAGATACTCAAAAGCTGTACAGATCCCAGCCTCAGGATATAGGAGTGGGGGTGGTGACAGAGTTCCCTCTGACCTCCCTGCCCCAGGCAATGCAGAGGCTCGGCAGGCAGCCGGAATGGCCAGTCCAGGCAGGCCCAGGCTTGCCCTGCTCCACTGAGCTGCTCTCCCAGTGGACACCAGGAGCACATTCTGTAACCAGGCTAGGGGAAGGGGCACGGTCTAGGTGGAGCCACAGCCACCTCCAGCCTTTTTCTGCCAAGGCTCTGAAGACCACCCAGCTTCCAAAGGTTAGGTCTGGCTTCCAACTCTAGCTAGGCTGAACCCTGGGGACAAAGACTTAAGAGAAGGGGCAGGGAGGAAAAAGAGAGGTGTTGGGGGAATAGGGTGGGTTGAGTTTTACATATTCAGGGTTTCACTGGTTCTTATACCTCATTGGACACAATCCAGGGGTGCAAGGGCTTCACTGGTTCTTATACCCTTTTGGACACAATCCGGGGGGCTGGTAGGTGGGGAAAGTCATGCCTCAAGCACCTGTACTTTTCAAGAACATTGAGGAGTAGCAATATCAGGGTAGTCCAGAGGTGTATCCAGGTGCCTCACTGGGGGACCGGCTCATCTGTGATGGCTGGAGAGTACAAAAGAGAAACTGCTGCAGCTTCCCAGAGGGCAGTGCCTCTAGCAAGTGTCACCTACCTCCACCTCCACCCCCACACTGGGCCCTGGACTCTGGAACCTGCCAGATCAGAAATATTGGTCCAAACTAAACTAGACTGGGGGCAGGAGGAGAAAGAATGCATTTATGCCCTTGGAAGCAGTGAAGGCAGCCCTTCAATGAGGCCCCAAATCTCCCCTGCCCACCCCAGGCAGGAGGCTCAGTTTTACCCCACAGCTTCTGCTTTCATTTATCTGGGGGCTAAAGCTGCTTTTAGTGACTTGGGCTGTGACCGCTGGGGATGGGGATGTGGGGTGGGGGCCAGCGGGGTTAACCCTGTGTGGGTGAGGTGGGAGAAGTTATAACTCACGGCGAACAGCCAGGAGAGTGTTCCCATGGCAACAGGACACAGAAGTCACTGTGTAAGGGTGTGTCTCATCCAGCTGCACTGGCCGAGGGAGTCCGGCATCCTCATCCCTCCTTCCCAGGCGACCTCGGGCCCCTTTGCCCCAAGAGTACACTTCACCTTCTGCCAAAGAGAATCCCAAGGAAGGAAACAGGAGGAGGACACAGCTTATCAAGCAACTGTCCTTCGAGATTGCCATACAGGCCCCAATATGAGGTTGCTGAGTTCAGCAGCCCTAAGCATCATAACCCCCCATCGCCGCCCATGGGCCTGCCCACAACCCGATCTGTCCCCATAGTGCCCACTGATCACCTGTCCCAATGGCTACAGTGAAGGCATCCCCACAGGCCACCATCACTATCTTGATGCCCTGGAGGCCTTGGACTTGACAAGGTGCCCGGCTGACCCGGCGAGCACTGGTACCCAACTGCCCATGCTGATTGCTGCCAAAAGTGTAGCAGTCACCAGAGGCTGTAAGGGAGAAGAGAGAGAAGGAAGGAAAGGGGCGCCTCAGCTGAGGTCCCAAGCAGACCAGGAGAGTCCACCTCTAGCCTCCTGTGTCCAGGTCCTACTCACCAGTCACAGCAGCTGAATGAGCAGTGCCCAGGTCCACACTCAGCAGGGGCTCCTGGTCCAGGGGTGCAGAACCTAGTGGTGTGAAGCTCAGAGCCTCTTCCACTTGCTGGTGGGGGGCAGGCTCCTCCCCCAAGGAGAGTTGGTCCAGGCCCAACTTGTTGAACCTGAAGGCAGTGCCAGAAGCCAAGTCCAGGGGACACAGTTTGTATAGACTGTCCTGGCCCCACCTACCTGAACAGGAGCTGGTGCAGCAGGGGACAGATCCCACCCTGAGCTGAACACTCAGCCCTCCTCAGCTCTAATCCCTGGTGGGGGGCACGCAATGACAGATGGAGCACTAGCAGCCAGGAAGGACAAGGAGGCAGCCAAGTCATCCTGGGCCACCTATTTACCTGTTGCTTCCACAGGCCAGGGCCTGGCCAGGCACAGTGAGGATCATGGAGGAGTCAATGCCACATACAACCCGCTGGGCTTCCTGTCCTGGGGGCATGGGCACCTGTTGGGGGCAGCTATGGGACTCCCTTGTGCCTAGTCCCAGCCGGCCTACAAGGAGAAACCCAGATAGGGCTAGTTTGAGCTTTAGGGTTGGTGATGCCAGGATAAGGACCCACAGAGAAGCAGAAACAGCGCTGAGTACACTGATGTTTTAGAGAGCTATATCTTCTTATTGGATTGATCCCTTTATCACTACGAGATGCCCTTCTTTGTCTCTTGTTATAGTCCTTGTTTTAAAGTCTCTTTTGTCTGATACAAGTAAAGGCTGTTCCCTCAGCCTGAAATGTGCATCCTTAGCCCCTCTTTGAGTCAAAATCCTTCTTCTCCTTTAAGGCCATGGTCAGATGCTACCACTACCTCCTCTAGATGGAGTCCCGTGCCATTCCTTGGGTTTCCACACCTCTGGACCTTGGGTGGACCCTGATGCTGTCTGTCCTCTGTCATGATGAAGATGTGTCATCCCTCCCCCCACCAGACTGAGCCCTCCAGGAGGACAGGAACCCCGTCCACGTCATCTCTAGTTTCAATGCCCAGCCTGATGCCTGACCCAGAGAGGGCCATAATGAATTCTGTTGGATGAATGAAATCTCCCTCATTACATCATAAGCACATGAAAGAGCAACATTTTGTTCATCTTGTCTCAGCACCCAGCACAGGGTTGGCACATAGTGGGTGTGCAATAAAGGTTTGTTGCGTGAATAAATGAATAGAATCTGAGAGCAAAGAGGGAGCAGAAACTAAAGCCGTGGGGTAGAAGGTGGGTTTAAAGGGGGACAAATCATGGCTGGAGGTGCTATGAGGTAGAGTCAGAGGCTGGAACAGGGTGGAAAGCTTACCACCATCTCCGCGGCCCCAAGCAAATAATTCTCGTTCAGTGGACAGGGCCAGCACGTGAGAGGCCCCACAGGCCACCTGCACCATCTCATAGCCCAGCAGGGCCTCCACAATGGTAGGCTAGAGAGAGAGAGGAAGCAAAGGGAGACTCTGGGTAAGGGCCTGGACTCAGCATCCTGTGTAGGGATGAAGCTGGAGGCTCGAATGCTCATGAGAGCTGTCCCTTTAACGCCCTCCCTTCCCCCCCTCCATACTACAACCATTGGGGAAGCCTGGTCTTTCTGTACTTCCCCTGATGCTGCCCAGAACAGGTGCACTCTGGGGACTAGAGGGACCTGTGGTTGCTGGGGATTCCCCAGCCCCCGACCTGCATATCAGCTCTCAGATGTGGGCTCCTTGCCATCTCCCCAATCCTCCTCCCAAGTTACACACAACACCCACCTGGCTGATGTCATTGAGGCTGCCATGGCCTAGGCATCCATTGCTGCCACTGCCAAAGGTCATGATGATACCTCGATCTGGGAAGAGGGGCAGTGAGGAAAGGGAAGGGAGAGAAGAGATTAGGCTGTTTTTCCAGATGAATCAGTCCAACCTTGGGTTGGAGGAGCAATAAAGTTAGCTGGAGGCTAGGGCTGGATGAATGGGATAGGGGTGAGAAAAAAGACAGGGGTCTCCCTTCCCAAGTGTGTGACTTTGGATAAGTGACTTAGCCTTAGTTCCAGAGCTGTCAAATGAGGATACCACAATTACTTTTCTAGGCCTGTTGTGAAGGGTAGAGGAGGCTGCGTAAGTAAACCTCTGGTGCTCAATAATTAGCAGATAGAAGCATTATTAAGTGAGCAGTTTGTAAATTACTGGCAAAGAGGGAAGTTGCTCTGAGGGGCCTTCACAGAGTGGGGTCCCCACAGGGTAGTCTCTGGACAGGCTCACCAGTCAGGCAGGCTGTGAAGAGGTCCCCGCAGGCCACCTGCTTGATGGTCACGCCTGACTGACCTTCCAGGAACCGTGAGACAAACTGGGGCTGCTGCTGTTCCACTGCCCCAGGAAGGAGGACACCCCCTCCAGCACCTAGGGGTGGGGCCTGGGGGGGTGACAGGGGAGGGAGTGGCTCCAGAGCACCCCCTTCCTTGCGGTGACCCTACCCCCACTCCAGGCCCGCCCCAGCCGGCTCACCTCCCACAGGATGAGGCGCCCAGAGCGTGTGACGCCGGCCTTCTGTGTGCGTCCAGCGGCCACCTGGATTACCTCTGTGTTGAGCATTGGCAGCCGCAGTGGAGAGCTAAGCCCGCCACCCCACGTGT